TGGGGGGTCACAGCTCTTGGGGTTCAGGGGGCTTGGGGGGCCACAGCTCTTGGGGTTCAGGGGGTTTGGGGGGCACAGCTCTTGGGGTTCAGGGGGTTTCTGTGCAATGTGCAGCCCCCAGGTTAGCCAGGCCAGGATCTGCCTGGATCATAGAAATCTCAGGTACAAAACCCAATTGGGTGTCTCCAGGCTCAGGGCCAGGGCAGGATTTATTCCCACAGAGCATTTCTGGTGTTTTTGCCACTCGGGTTTCCATGGTGAGGCTTTGGGGGGCACAGCTCTTGGGGTTCAGGGGGTTTCTGTGCAATGTGCAGCCCCCAGGTTAGCCAGGCCAGGATCTGCCTGGATCATAGAAATCTCAGGTACAAAACCCAATTGGGTGTCTCCAGGCTCAGGGCCAGGGCAGGATTTATTCCCACAGAGCATTTCTGGTGTTTTTGCCACTCGGGTTTCCATGGTGAGGCTCCCTGCCCTTACCTGTGGAAATGTTTTCACATCTAGTGCATTTCTCTGGCAAGAAGCTTCTGCTATTTGACTTAAATTCACCTTTAGTTAATTTCATCCTGAGTCTTCCTGCTTAGAATCTTGTGTGTATTCCACTATGAGACTTTGTGTACACTTAAGTGGAAGATACATGCTAGCTCTATCAGAGAGCTCTTCCAGCACTTATGTATAATGTAAATTGCATAGACCTACAGCTATATCGACATTTACAATTACAATTGAATGACAAAACTTTTGTTGTTCACAGGTGCTAAAATGTCCGCCTCTGCCTGCAGAGCTACAAACATTTTGCTGCAGCCAATGCAAGTGTAAGGGGTGCCGTGCCAGCAGGATTGCTCTCCTGTTGACAACATAAACCTCACTTTTAAGGGATGGAAGTATTTTGTCAGCAAAAGTGCCAACAGTGTTTACACTGCACAGCTTATAGATAAGGACATGTGGACATGACCATGTAGCTAAAAGCAGTGTAGTATAGACAAAGCCTAAATAATTCCTTTCCCTCAAACATCAGTATATTATTATGTCTCCCTTGCCCCTCTTCCTAGTCATTCCTTAGATAAGCAGTTAACTATTTTTCCTCCAGCTCCCTGATTGTTTATATTGCTTTCTTCAGGGTTTCCGCATATTTCATTTAATGAAGTTTCAGCTCACTGATGACACAGTTTAGTAAGAATCAGCCTAGCCCAGATTAAACGCCAGCTATTCCAGTTCCTGTTAATTATTTCCCGTTGTTACTGTCCTTCAGCCCGTTTTCACATGACTATTTCTGTCTAGGCCAGTTGGCATTCATTTACACTGTGATTTCATGTGGCACAGTATCAAATGACCTGCTAGAATTAAGTGGAGGAGGTGTAAGTCTTTCTGGGCTTCAGCAAGGCTGTTTTGTACCTCCTCAGGATTTAAAGGACTCAGGGCCCTCCCATAAATTCTTCAACCTGCAGTTTTCTGGCTGCAGAGATTTTTATGTTCAGTCAGGAAGCTAGACATCTGTTGTGTGTACAGGTATTTGCCTTTACACATTTGGAAGATGCCAAATAAGAAGCCACTTCTGAAAATCAAGGCCTGTGTCTTAATGGACTTTGGATAAGCAATGAGGTAGCCACAGAAAATAGTTTTTATCTGGCAGGTGCTTGTGATTAAATATGGACTTTGTTCACTTGTAGCTCAGTTTATTTTTATCACTCTTGCACAGCTCAAACAAAGTGTGTCCACAGCGAGCAGTGTTGCCTACAATGGGTGGCTCGCAGCTGGTAGTAACATCTGCCAAAACAGTAATAAAAGCAACCCTTATAATAATGTGCATTTAATGCACATATAATGTACGGCTTTCTAAATAGAAACATAGGAATAGCTGTACTAATCACACCCAAGGTTCATCTAGTCCGGTATCCTGACGCTGACAAAGGCAGAGGTTGTGCCCACTTCAGATCTCATGATCTCTAATAGAGATTGGTTTAAGCCCCAAAACATAGGGTTTAATATTGCTTTCAAAATATTTGGTAGAATTAACTGTAATAACTAGATATCCTTATTATTCATATAATCTCATTAAGCTCTTAACCTTAATGACTTCCTGTGGCAGAGAGTTCCACCATCCTTTTTTTTTTTTTTTTTGGACAGTCAGACACTGTCCTGATTCACACCTGGGGCTCCCAGGTGCTATTGTGCAAATAATAAGCAATATTTATAGTATTTACATGCTTTTAGTAGTTTTTCAATTACATTAAAAATGGCAAATTTAAATCCCCTCTGTCACAATCATCATGTCCCTTTTATTTGTCTCCTCTCTAAGGTAAAAGTCTTAATCTCTTCAAAATACAGGACTATGTAGCACTTTAAAGACTAACAAGATGGTTTATTAGATGATGAGCTTTCGTGGGCCAGACTCACTTCCTCAGATCAAATAGTGGCAGAAAATAGTCACAACCAATCTCTTCACTCTCTCAATATGAGAGGTTTTCCGGGCCCATGATCATTTTCATCATTCTTCTTTGAGCTCCCGAATGAACAAAGGAGTGCATTTTTTTAGGATGCTGTTAGATACTCAACTTTCAGTACCAAAGTCTCAGAGGGGTAACCGTGTTAGTCTGTAACTTTTAAAAATGAGTAGTCTTGTAGCACTGTAGTGACTAACAATAAATATATAGTATCATGAAGTGGGTTTTGCCCACAAAAGTTCATGATACTGTGTGTGTGTATGTGTATATGTGTGTGTGTGTGTGTATATATATATATATATATATATATAGTCTCTAATGTGTTACAGGACTACTTGTCACTTTCAGTACTGTGAGCTTCATTATCCTTTTTACACATGGTGCTTTCATTGCAAGCTGTTATTTTCACACACAACTTTTCCAAAAAGCTGAGGTTGTAAAAACTGTGTTTCACCCATTCACACATTTATTAAATGGTTTCTGTGCATGTGGATAACTCAAAAAGGCCTTTTAAAAAAGCTTTTGGCTCACTCTGGCTGAGTCCTGAGCAGGAATTCTGAGTAAGAAATAAAATCCCGTGCACTAAAAATTTCATAGAGCTTGTGGCACTCAGACATAGGCTCCACTTCCTTATCAACAGGCAGAATTTGGCCACATACTGTCCATATGTAATGTTGTTCTTTAAGTGCTTATTTTAACAATGACTGGCAGTGTAATGACTGAGAGAGATACAGAAGCAGGTGAACATTTGAATCTGGTAATAGTGATGTAGCAACATCTCATTTCATGGGCAAGTTAATGATAGAAAGGTAAGGGATATATATGATTTTATTTATATAAACTTACAGAAACATAATTTCAGTGGTGTCACCCTCTGCGGAGTGGGATGGAGGACTTACTACCCTCTTCCCTGGGTCACAGCTTTGAGGACCTCCAGTTGATAATACAATATTGTCAGAAAAGGATTGAATTGGGTTTCATTTGAAAATCCTTCCTCCCGCAATGTTACCAAACATGATCAACTTAGAAGACTTATGTTATATAGATATACATTCAATTAAATGTTTAAAAATCAAAATTGTCTCTAATATTGCAACATAAAAAAGACATTGAGGTTTCGTACTGTATTTCTAGGGAAGTTAGTCTTGACCTATAGGATTGAAAAAAATTATCCATGAAAGACATCGGTGCTATCTCTGTCTAGAGCACCATTGCTAGACACATTGTCACACTGACCCTTGTCTGTGCCTCAAGCACACATCACCATTCAGGGCAGGCTGCTGGCCAGCCATTTGCAGGGTGGTGAGCGTCTGGGCTTTGCACATAAGCTTGGCTACGTCTACACTGGCCCCTTTTTCGGAAGGGGCATACTAATTTTGAAAGTGGGAATAGGGAAATCCGCGGGGGATTTAAATATCCCCCGCAGATTTAAATAAACATTTGAAGTAGGAATAAGAGATCCTCCGGAATAGGGCTTTATTCCGGAGGATCGGGCCAGTCAAGGCGCTTTTTTTCCAGCTTTTCCCCAAGCCGGAAAAAAAGCGGCAGACATATTTATTTAAATCCATGGGGGATATTTAAATCCCCCACGGATTTCCCTATTCCCACTTTCAAAATTAGTATGCCCCTTCCGAAAAAGGGGCCAGTGTAGACGTAGCCAAGCATTTGATTAGGATTGATGTGAACATGCATGCTTGAGCGTAGGGGATAGTGTTGAATGGGCTCAATCATCCTGACACTATTACATTGCTTGACAATTTTGTTGGTGGCATTTCTAGGTTTGTCAGCTTCTTGTAAACAGCCACTAGTGTGGCTCTGCAAGTGCCTTAATATTTATCTCAAATTGTAAACCTGATATGAACACATCCAGTGCATTTATAACCTCATCAGAGACTGTCCCAGACATTCCAAGTACCTTCAAAGTGAGAGCGATTCTTTGGAGGCCGAATCAGATGTCTTCCAGTGAGAAAATTTTGTCTTGCATCCTGAAAGGGCAAGAAAACCTAGCTGTCTGGTGGTTGTTAGTGGTCTGAGAGATAGGAACACATCTCTGTGTAGTATACAATGAGTCTGTTCCCAGCAGCAAGCATAGAAACAGAATTTTGCAGAAGTCTTGGGAATTACAGAGAAGCACCACTGAGAAATGCAGGGCAGAAGCTTCGTTATGCCATGTGACAATGAAATTGTTTGAACAATGCTTTGCATGCTGGAGTGTTTTTCCTGCAATGTGTGGGTAACTCAAGCTTTGTGCAAGTATCAGTAGCTTCTTCATTGTGACATTGGAAATATTGGGGACCACGGCCATAGAGTCTCTTCTTTCTGGTAATATTTGTAATTGATCTCTATACATGTGTGTCAGACACAAGGTGGTCTTTGTGGTAAGTCCACTGTTTTCTCTGTAGCCTCATAATGAAGAGTTTGGGGAAATCTTGGCAGGTATTAACAGTTTCTGGTTTGTGAAGAGCTTGTACTTCAGTCATATCATTTATGATTGCTACTCCAAAAGACCTCTGCTGCAGTAAGTACAAGTCACATCAGTAGGTACTGGCTTAGGAAGACTATGTAAAATATGCATAAGTTTGGTTTTCACCTGTCACATATGTTTCATCGCCTTCAGACATCAGTTGTGGTACCACAGGGAACTCATACTTTCCCCCTTGCGTAGTTCTACATGACACTGAGATCTGGGCATGACCCACTACCCTAGACTACTAAAGAATCAAGAAAAGCAAAGATAGCAGGGTGAGTTCAAAAGCACTGCTGGGATTGAGAAGTTATACTAAGGTATAGTGCAGTGACTCCACTAAAAAGTCAGCTCTTGTCTCACAAAGTTACTACAAAATTCCCTAAATCTGGGGTAAGTCTGACTCTACTGATCTGTTGTGATAATCTCTACATGACTGATGAAGCTGATGCTTTGTGGATCATCATAACAAGACCATCCACTTCTTCAATCCAAAGTAATATTTGCGTACTGACTAAATATTTAAATCACCTTTGGAAAAAGGTGGAGCAAAAGATAAGGATGATGAGGTGAAATCAAACTGAGTACAGTATCATTCTCTTTGCTTCAGTGTTTGCTTTCCGTGTTAGTGATGTCAAATACTGAGTTTAGTGTTTATGGAAATTGGAAATTCTTTTAGGAAAGAATATCCGCATTCAAAGGTCTAACGCCCAGTTTTATGTGTGGGGGAAATTGGGTGTAGGACACAATGTATGACTTTGATGACAAAATAACTTCCAAACAGACCATAAACAGCTTACGCTAGTACCAGGAATGGGCCCAATTCGGTTCCCATTGCAATCAGTGGGACTTAATTGGGCTCTGGGCTGGTTCCAATCAACGTAAAAAGACAATGGCAACCATCCCACTTACATTCTTAAAGTTAGGAAAAAACTTTGCAGCAAATCTGCTAAGTAATCAGAAATCCATGTTTCTTCCCCATTATATGCTACCTTTCCAATCCTGTGAATAGAGACAGTTACAAGGATTTGAAAGCACAGAGTTTATTTTTAAAAACAACGAATAGTCCTGTGGCACTTTAGAGACTAACAAAAAAATATATAATCACGAACAGGGCTCAACAAACAATACAATCTACTTGCCTGTGGCGAGTAGATTTCAGCCGTGCGCCCCATTCATTCGCGGCATGCGCAATGCGACTCTTGCGCATGCGCAGTACGGGGCTAGAGAGCGGCTTTCACCACGTTCATCAAGCCCTGATCATGAAGAAGTGGGGTTTGCTCATGAAAGCTCATGATATATGTGTGTGTGTTAGTCTCTAAGGTGCCACAGGACTACTTGTTTTATAGTAACAAAGCTACCCCTCTGAGAATTTATTTTTGTATTTAGACATTTTGCTTAGCCGCCTTCTGTGGTGAAATCCTACAGACATATTCTTTTTTCTTTGAACATTTGGGAGGAGTTCAGATACCACAGTGTTAGGGAGCCAGGCAAGTACATAAATATAGAGAGCAGAGGTATAAAAGTCCTGCAAATATAGGTTACCTTTTATTGGTGTGAAATATAACTCAGGGCTGTAGCTAAGCTCTTCTACATATCACAACGTAGCTGTGTAATGTTCATTTTTCTTGGATTCTCAGGCTCCCCGCTCTTAAATGTCCACCATACTTCTTTCATGTTTCTATTAATTTTGCTTGCGGGGGACAAAGATGGTGTTTTTGCCCTCAGGCACATGGAATTTTTATTGTGTTTTCCCCTTTCATGGGTTTTCCCTTGATTGGTCAATGATTTAAGTTTTATAATGCCTCGTTCATATTGTTTCAGCAATAATAGTCCTAGAAGAAGAGAGCGTGAGAATAGGCATTTAGAAAAGGACATTTAACCCTCACTGTTTTTATATGTTGTTGTTTTACTGTGACTATCTGGTTTAAAAGCCACTCTGGTTTCAGAAGATGAGTTTGTTTTCGGATCATGGGATAAGGAGCTCGACTGAAACAACAAGTCCAATCTAGGGAAGTTTGGTGTATAAGACATGAACCTATTACTGTAATTGCTTATATATTGGAGAAACTGCTAGGGATTTCTCAGAAAGCTGCTCCAAATTTTTATTCAAACTAAATTCTTTTTGTTTATTTCTCTATAGGAAAATCGCCCAATCCCAGAACCAGGTCCCAATGGTAGGTCTCTAGAGTGACTGCCTCATGTCTGCATTGCGGTTTTCTTTGAGTGTAATTTCTTTCAAAATTCTCTATTTGCCCTTCACTGGTCTCCCCCTGTACGCCAACTACCGGATCTATGACAACATATAATGGGTGGCCAACCAGTTAGACACTAAGAGCCAAAAGAGCTGTGGATAGTAGTGCAAAGAGCCACACACCCCAGGCCCAGGCACCCCCAGTCTCCCCCCACTCTAAACCAATGCTCCACTCCTCCCCCTTCATATTATCTTCCTCTGAAAAAGAATGCTGTCATAAAGGCATGCTGAACATTACCTTTGATGGGAGTTGGAAACCATCTGCACTCTCAGAATTGGGCCCATAGAAAGTAGAGAAGGAAAAATTAGCTGGAAACTTCATTCTGTCCTCATTCAGATAATAAACTTGTAATAGATGCAAGTTTCATTGGGATTTTGATGTCCCAGGCTGGTTACTATGTGATCAGAAACTTTAAACAGAGTTTTATCTTAATAATCTGGTTGCTTGCCCATTACCCTAACCTTGAAATATATTTACTGTGTTCAAATGCATCGTACACAAGTCTATTTGAAAATCATTCAAATAACCAGAAACTTAATCATATTTAATCAAATATCCCATTTTCACCCAGATTTGAGCTCGCCTCTTATATTACATTTGCCTTCATTTAAAAGAGATGCCTTTTATTTTATGCTCTTCAAAATTTAATCCCTTATCTAGAATGTTCAGATTTCAGTAAGAACCTCATAAATGTCAGCTAATCCATAGGATGCAAATGCAGATATGTTACTTTTATGAACTATGTTAGTAAATGATAGTGAACAGATTAAGAAAATGAATTGTAGAATCATAGAACCATAGAGCTGGAAGAGGGCTCAGAAGGTAATCAAGTCCAGCCCCCTGCTCAAGGCAGGACAAATCTCAACTAAATCAACCCAGCCAGGGCTTTCTCAAGCAGAGACTTAAACACCGCTAGGGATGGAGACTCCACTGCTTCCCTAGGGAACCCATTTCAGTGCTTCACCACTCTCCTAGTGAAAAAGCTTTTCCTAATATCCAACCTGGACCTCTCCCACCACAACTTGAGACCATTGCTCCTTGTTCTGCCATCTGTCACTACTGAGCACAGCCTTTCTCCATCCTCTTTGGAAGCTCCCTTCGGGAAGTTGAAGGCTGCTATCAAATCCCCCCCCACTCTTCGCTTCTGCAGACTAAACAGACCCAACTCCCACAGCCTCTCCTTGTAGGCCGCTGGACCCTCTCCAATGCGTCCACATCCTTTTTGTAGTGGGGGCCCCAGAAATGGACACAATGCTTCAGATGTGGCCTCACCAGAGCCGAATAAAGGGGAATAATCACTTCTCTGGATCTGCTGGCAATGCTCCTCCTAATGCACCCTAATATTCCATTAGCCTTCTTGGCTATAATAGCACAGAGTTGTCTCATATTCAACTTCTCATCCACTGTAACCCCCAGGTCCTTTTCTGCAGAACTACTACTTAGCTGGTTGTAACAATGCTTGGGTTTCTTCCATCCCAAGTGCAGGACTCTGCACTTGTCCTTGTTGAACCTCATCAGATTTCTTGTGGCCCAATCCTCTGATTTGTCTAATTCACTCTGGACCGTATCTCTGCCCTCAAGCGTATCTACCTCTCCCCCTAGTTTAGTGTCATCCGCAAACTTGCTGAGGGTGCAATCCATCCCCTCATCCAGGTCATTAATAAAGATATTGAACAAAACCAGTCCAAGAACAGATCCTTGGGACACTCCGCTAGAAACTGACCATCATCCTGACATCTAGCCTTTGATCACTATCCGCTGGGCCCAGCCTTCTAGCCAGCTTTCTATCCATCTCACCGTCCATTTATCCAATCCACATTCCATTAAATTGCCTTCAAGAATATTGTGGGAGACCGTATCAAAAGCCTTGCTAAAGTCAAGGTATATCACATCCACTGACTTCTCCATGTCCACAGAGCCAGTTACCTCATCATAGAAGCTAATTAAATTGTTCAGGCATGACTTGCTCTTTGTGAGTCCATGTTGGCTATTCCTGATCACTTTCCTCTCTTCCAAGTGCCTCAAAATAGATTCCTTAAGGATCCCTTCCATGATTTTTCCAGGAACCGAAGTAAGACTGACTGGCCTGTAGTTCCCTGGATCGTCCTTCTACCCTTTTTTGAAGATAGGCACTACATTTGCCTTTTTCCAATCATCCGGGATCTCTCCCGATCTCCACGACTTTTCAAAGATAATGGCCAAAGGCTCCTCAATGACATTTACCAACTCCCTCAGTACCCTTGGATGCATTAAGTCCGTACCCATGGATTGGTGTACGTTTAGCTTTTCTAAATAGCTCCTAACCTGTTCTTTGCCCACCAAGGGCTGTCCATCTTCATCCCATCTTGCATCACTTAGCGCATTAGTCCAGGAGCCGACCTAGTCTGTGAATACGGAGGCAAAGAAAGCATTGAGTGCTTCAGCTTTCCTCACATCATCTGTCACTAGGTTACCTCCTTCATCTAGTAGGGGCCTCACACCCCTCTGATCACCTTCTTCGTGTTAGCATGCCTGTAGAAACCTTTCTTGTTATCCTTCTCATCCTTTGCCAGTCGCAATTACAATTGCTCTTTCACCTTCCTGATAACCCCCCAGCATTCTCGAGCTATACATTTATACCTCTCCCTGGTTTCCACTTTTTGTAAGCTTAAGTTCACCAAGGATTTCCCCTGTAAGCCAATCCCGTCTCCTACTATGTTTGCCTCTCTTGCTATGCATCGGGATGGTTTCTTTCTGTGCTTTCAGGAAGGCTTCTTTAAAATACTGCCAGCTGTCCTGGACTCCTTCTTCTTCATGTTAGCATCCCAGGGGATTCTGCTCATCAGGTCTCTGAGGGAGTCAAAATCTGCTTTTCTGAAGTCCAAGGTGTGTATTTTACTACTCTCTTTTCTCCCTTTGGTCAGGATCCTGAAATCTACCATCTCATGATCACTGCTTCCGAGGTTGTCATCCACCTCTACTTCCCCTATTAGTTCCTCCCTGATTGTGAGCAGACGGTCAAGCTGCACACGGCCCCTGGTCGGATCCTTCAGCACTTGTACCAAAAAGTTATCCCCGACATTCTCCAAAAACTTCCTGGATTGCCTGTGTACTGCCGTATTGGTCTCCCAACAGATGTCAGCGTGATTAAAGTCCCCCACGAGAACCAGGGCCTGCAATCTGGAAGCTTCTTTCAGTTGTCTGAAGAATTAAAGGGAAGAAGGAGATGGAAGACCTATCTATCTCTCCCCCCCCCCCTCCAGAGCCCATGCAGAAGTGTTCACTACTGTATTTTTAGTGAAAAACATTAGAATGAGATTTTCCAAAGTGCTCAGCATTGGCCTAATTCTATTCTCATTGAAATGAGTAGGAAAGATGGCAGTGACTGCATTGGGAGGAGAGTTACACCAATGCATAGTGCTTTTAACAATCCCATCCTAGTTTTTCTAAGCAATAACAAACAAACACAAACCTTAGTTTTTTCCTGTTAAATATTTGACTGTTTTTATTAAACTGTTTTTCTACAAACTACTGAAGAAAGTCATGATTATTCTAAATTGAGCTCTAGAAATCACCACACAACTTAGTTACTCCAAGAGAGAACAGAATTATGACTGAAAATGTTACTTTGTGTGACACTGAGGAACTGTAGAATTATAAGAGAGCAAAGAAAAGGATTAGCAGCGCAATTCTGAAATATGACCTGCTAAGATTTAAAAGAAAAGCTTGTGCAGTTTTATGGGACGTGATTGTCTAGGAAGGAGTCCTATAGAAAGGGATCTAGGGGCCTTAATGGACCACAATATGAGTCGTCAGTGACACTAGCAAAAAAAAAAAAAAGCAAACATTCTGGGATGCATTAGCTGAAGTGTTATGAGCAATACATGAGAAGTAATTCTGTCACTCTGCTCTGTCCTGCTTAGACCTCACCTGGAATATTGTGTTCAGTTCTGGGTGCCACATTTCAGGAAAGATATATAGAAATTAGAGAGGGCCCAGAAAAGAGCAACAAAAATTATTAAAGGTCTAGAAAACATGAGCTATGAGAAACAACTTAAAGCAGTGTTTCCCAAATGGTGTTCCGTGGAACCCCAGGGTAAGGGTTCTGCAAAAAATTTCATTACAATAACATTTAATGATTTAAAAAATAAGTAATATTTAAGCATTTATGAATTTTATTGAAAACAATTTTCATTTATGTTTGCCACAATAAATGTCCCTGTGTAATGCCAGCTTAGCCAGAGAGTGGGGACGATGATGTCACTACTCAGCGCTGCACACACAGTCAGTCAGTAGTGCGATCGCCTGTTATATCCCACCGTAAATCCACATACTCACATGGGTGACTGAATATGAATATACTGGTGTATATTTGTTTTTGAGCTTTATTTTTTGTACACATTAAATGTGATTTTTCTTTTTAAATATGTGTAATTAAACTAAATGTTGATCTCAAGACCTTGTTTAGCATTTGTTTATTATTATCCTTACTTATTTGTGGTCTATTTTTTCAGCTTCATATATAGGACTGTTATTAGAGGTTCCTCAACTTCTTTCACGTTTAAAAGGGTTCCACGACCAAATAAAATTGGGAAACACTGACTTAAAGAATTGGATTTGTTTGGAAAAGAGACAACTGAGAGGGGATATGGTAGCAACTAAAAGGGTGTTATTAGGAGGAGGGAAAGAAATTATTCTCCTAAATGTCTGATGATAGGACAAGAAGCAGTGGACTTAAATTGTAGTAAGGGAGGTTTAGATTGGGCATTAGGAAGAACTTTCTAACTGTCAGGGTAGTTAAGCCCTGGAATACATTGCTTAGGGAGGTTGTGAAATCTCCATCACATGGAGATATTTAACAGCTGGTTAGATAATCATTCAGGGATGATCTAGAATGGTGCTTGGCCATCTCATGATTGCAGGGGACTGGACTTGATGACCTCTCAAGGTCTCTTCCAGTTCTAGTGTTCTGTGATTCTACACATAAAGAGGCAAAAAGGGGTACAGACCCTCTTCAGTGTTCCTCTGTAGAACAGTTACTTGTCAGTCTTTAAACCTTTCCCCAAGCAAATGCTTCACCTTGCTAAAGACTGCAGCGATTCTGTCATGCAGTTAGTCTCTTGTTTATGACTTTTTCTTTCCTTGCCAGAGGTGCTACTGAAGATGCATTCGGTCGGGATTTGTGGATCTGATGTTCATTACTGGCAGAATGGTAGAATTGGGGACTTTATCGTAAAGAAGCCTATGGTGCTAGGGCATGAGGCATCTGGAACAGTCATCAAAGTGGGGTCATCAGTAACCCATCTGAAGCCAGGTGAGCAACTTCCTTGAGTCTTGTGAGTGGTTACCAGATAAGCACTTTCCCAGTTGTGATGAGGTGAATAGGCTGGCTTGCTAGGAAATACTAAGTGTTTGTTGTGCATTGATGAAACATTAGGAATCTTGCAAACCAGAGAAGGCTGAGCCAAAACCTTTAGTTTATGGATGAATTTAACAAATGGCTCTGCCTTTATATTGGGTTAAATAGATGTGAAGATCCCACCTCCAGACAACTCAAGGTTCAGGAACCAGAGCAGGGTCTCAGTGAGATGGTTTGAGTCTCTGTCTCAAACACAGCTGTTGTCCTTATCTATTGGTTTACTGTTCTCCTCCCTGATTGCACCGTTCCTTCTAACCA